ACTTTCCTAGTTGTGTAGTGTGGGAGCACGTGATCTGCACCTCTGGCGGGGGCAGACCACATAAATTCTCTTCCATCCTGCTGCTCATGTCATGAGTCAAAATGTTGCCACGGCAACCTGGCAGCAGCACTCTGACTCATTCACTGAGCGTTGGAACCGCAAGAACACTTAAAGTGCCTCCTGCAGTAACTTATTTAGTATATTGCCAAGATGGGCTCCCTCCTGACCTTGCCCCTTTTTATGCCCTACTCACAATAGCAACCTTTTTAGCCCTGGTAGTTCTGATTCATAAAATGACTTTCATTATCTTAGCTTCACTCTATCAACATATACCAGTGTAACTGATCACATAGCCATTACCAGCTCAGTGGCTGTTGGAACATATTCCTGTCATTGGTGATCACCAGAATTACCTGCCATGGTCTTAAAGTTCTATCCAGACCGAGCCGCACCATTCCAGTACTGGGAGACACTCCATTGAAAGACACACATAAGGGAGTCAGTTCAAGAAAACGTCTTCTCTTTATTAAACAGAACAATGGTTTCATAATAACACGCAATATAGGGGAGTATACTCCAATGGTTTCATAATAACACGCAATAAAGGGGAGTATAGGGGAGTATCATCAGTACCAATCAAATATTGACAACTATTAACTAACAGAATGGACAAATTGTGCATACATCATGGTATGGGCATGTAACAAGTCATTGATACAAAACGTATCTAGGGGGCATTACTGGGTTGAATCCTTTGAGAATAGGAGAGTATAGAGGAATTGTCTTCTTAGAATAGCAGAGCACAGAGATGGTCGTATGACTATGTATGTAATGTTCTGGCATAGTCAGGTGCAAAACTACATATGTGACGTCCTTGCAATGTACAAGGCTTTTAATCTTAAGATTCAGCCGAGTAGAACTCCAACCTATCAGTGACTTTTTGTAATGGTTGAGGGAAAACTAGGATGAATCATGTTTCTATTTAGTTTTTTGTTTTGAATATTGTTTTATTTTTTTTTCTCATAGAAAAAGAAAAGCTTTAGAACAAAAATATAGAGCCAGGAGAAGACGAGCAAAGTTGAAACGAAAACTCCAGAAACATAAAAGTTATGAAGAATGCACTGTGGAAAACAATCACATTTCCACTGAAGTGGTGGAAGACACGCAAGAATGGGAGGATCGAAAAATGCTCCTAGCTCAAAGACGTGTTGAATCAATCAAGCTTCTCTCGTTACTCTTGGACAAAGTCACTGTAAGTAGTTTAATGTTAAACTAGTGCTTGGAATAATGACTAAATGTCAAAGCATTAGATATTGTAGAGCAAGTGAGACACTTGCTTTATCTACCTGTCTATAGATCATATGAACCCATAAAGCAGTGATTACTAACTTTTAACATCTTTCAGCAATGTCACCATTCTGGTTGGAATGAATACACTTCGCACTCAGCTTCTCATTGGTGAATCCATTTATTCAACCAAATTGGTGGATCGAGCAACATTTCCGCTTTGCAAGTGCCTTTCTAAAACCTGGCTTGACAAAGGCTTGTGCAGTGCAGAAACATTGCTGGTACCACCTGCCTTGGCTTGGTTGAATAAATTTCACGGCTGAGTACAAAGTGTATTAATTTCTGCTACATTTGATGAGACTCAAGAAACATGAGCTCTAACTCGAGCACCACAAAATAAAGTGAGTGCCTTCCCACAAATTGCATTTTTACCAATGTGGTTTGAACACTTTGCTGTTATTCATTTACTTATATTTACATTAGCATTTTTATTTTATTAGTTTTGCAATTGCCTAGCGGATAAATCTTAACGTAAATGATGAAATGGGATATTTAATGAAATAAGAATACATAGCTAGAAATGTAGAAATCACCTCCCTCAGCAGGTGATTGGTCCAGACTCAAGTTTTATTAAACCCTGTCAAGTCTTGATTACCTACTTTACCAGGAGTTTTGAATCTGTCCTAGGAATCTATGTATGTTGGAATGTATGTTTGCTTTGTAGTTTGTTACATTAAGATGCCTTTATTTCACACAATGTATTTTTTTGTTTTGTACCTGAAGGACCTGGTACCATTCAGGAGACTCCATGAAGAGCCCATGGATTGTGATGTTACAGAAGAATGCAGTGAATACTCCATGCCTTCTTGTTCCATTAAAACCAAAACTATATCTCCAACAGAGGAGAGTAGTACCCAACATGACTCAGAGACTGAAGAAGAGATGGAACATAGTATGTCCAAGTCCTACTTGCATAGCTTATATAAACCTCAGATTAAACGAAAAAAGAAATTGCTCTCTCTTAAAAATAACTGGAATTGTGACACTGACTATTGCACTACTCAAGAACAGTTGGAAGGTGGTGAAGGAGAATGTTTTGACCACCAACTGTCCAAGATTCCTCGCACTGTTTTGAATGAAAGCTGCTACAAAAGACTAAAGGTTTATGAAACAGATGAATTTATTAATTACTTGTTAAATTATTACCACTGCCCAGAGTATGCAAGGTTGTTCCTGGAAACAGGTGACAGTGAAAGTAAGTCTTGCTGCCAGCGAATCGTTCTTTGCAATGGGGATAGCTTTAAAATTAAACTCAAGAACACAAATGGTCATTTTGCAGAGATGGAATATTTGTCAGAGACCGACTCACCAACAGAAACCCTAGATACATGGAAGAAAACTATTCCAAAATCAGAAAAAAATTTACAAGAGACATCTAACCATCACACATTCTCCAACAAATTCCAGGAGAATTTGATGGAAAGTGAACACGAGCAACCACTAGTGACTTCAAGAACTTGCCGTAAGAAGAACTGTGAGCAAGATTATCCAAAGAACTGTAAGAAAGATGATCCAGGAACTTGGAAGAATGGTGAGGATACTGAAAGCTCTGGATCAGTTCATGAACTTAAAGATGTACTAGAGGAAATAAGCAGTACCTCTGAATACTTCAGCGAGGAACTAAGTGATGGAACAGAAAGGCCAGTTAATAATCGTAAAATTCCAAGGAAACCGAGAAATGTTGCGCGTGTGAAAAAAGTAAAACCCTGCTGCTTTTCTGATCATGATAGGATGTGCTGCCACAAAGATATACTGGGACACTTTCTACAGTCTTACTCAGTACGCAAGGGTCTCAAAAAGCATTCACGATGTAAACAGGCACGGCTATGCCGAAAACACTTCCATCCTGTATATGACACAGAGACAACAGAGTCTGATACAGAGGTAGACACCGAAGATGGATTATTACGGAAACGAAAGAAGTTAAAGAAAAAGATGCACAAACGCCGCTTGATGGAAGATGAAAGTCGCCGTAAAGATAGTTCAGTGACCGAAACTAGCTTGAGTGATTCGTGGGGGGATCAACACAATGAGAGAGTTAAACATATACCCAAGAGAGTGAGCCATAATGCAGCCCATCTCCGAAAATCAAAGCGGCAGCCTGATCATAGGGGGTACTACTGTCAAGGAGATGTTTTGTCATCTTCTGGGGAAGATGAAGCCTCGTCCCTTGGGCAAGAGGAGTCCTCTTCTGAGCAAGGTGAATCCTCATTGGATTATAAAAAACCTCACAGGAGGTACATTCCCAGACCTACTCATAAAACGAGAAAAGTTGCCCAACATGGCATACGTGGTAAAGGAACGTTTAATGATTATTTGGATTGGGAACAACATTTTTATTGGGGATAGATTTGTTGAACATGTGAAGTGGAAATCTTTAGATGTATTATATGGTACAGAGAGAGAGAGTATGAGTTTAAGGAATTTTGTTAAAACTGTTTTGTTATGAACTCCTGTTAAGTGCCTTTCTGTGAAGCATATTTGCAGTAAAATTTGTTACCAAGTAAATAGTATGCTTTACCACCAAAAATGGTTTGTGTTTTATGTTTGCAGTAATACTGATTTTAGAATATGTATGTTGTATGGTTTTGTAGGTGAGAAGTAAGGGGTTAGTTAGTTTAATCAACTCTGGAAAAAATAGTGAACAGAAATCTTAAGGGCAATATTTTGGCCAAAATAGCTGGTTGGAAGAAATTCCCCAGATTGGCTGAAGTCACTATTTTAACATAAATTTAGCAATTTCAGATTTGAGACAATTTGGAGTTAAGTGAATAAATGACTTCAGAAATCTTTTTTTGTATTAATTATTTCTAATTAGTATGAGAAAATGTACCCTTAATTAAAGGGCAATCTAGACATCATAACCAATATCTGTTCATTAGGCTGCACGTGCAGTTAACCGGTTCTGACCTTCTTAGTCAATAAATGACTTTAAAATATGGACAAAAATCATATTACGAATACTTTGGAAATTCTGTATTAACAATGGACAAGCAGCACTTGTGCTGTAAGTGCTATGAAGACCCCCAGCTTTGGTTAGACCAGTTGGTAACCATGCTCAGACTGCCCTACTTGAAAGGGTCATTGTAGCAAAAACCTTGCAGGTTTAATCACCAAAGTTAGAAATCAAAGGGAATTTCAAATGTAAGGCAAGAGTACCTGAACTAAAAGCATAGCTAACTTGGAGATTTTAGCCCGCACATCTATTTTGACCTTAAATTTGAAATTCACTTTGAATTCTCACTTTGGTTTTTGCTACCACAATGGCGGGCAACTCTACATGGCAGAAAACAACAAAAATTATGACATTTTCTGTAGTCCCTTTGGATGAAAAAGTATAGTTTCTGTTCTGTCACATTATTTAAAAAAAAAACTTTTTGTACAATTTCTTGGTGTGAAAATGACATCTATCATGCTTCTGTTTCCTGCTTGTGTCATGAAATGTCCATATTGATGCTGCCCAAAAATAAAGAATTTTAAAAAGCATTTTTAAGTAAAACACAATAATTTATGTAAAATTACATATATTTGTTGTAACTGTGTTGAGATTATCACTTTTTTACCTTTTTCCATACTTCCTTAAAGGGCATAGGCACTTGTATAGTACTAACATAGATCGATCCATTTAAGAGGGACCCGATATAACATGTATAATTCACTGAAGGGAATTCACAGTGAATGTCATATTTTAGGCCCCAAAAATCCATATATGAAAAGCACTTTAAGCTGTGTTTTCATTTTTGTTACTTTGACCTAAATTTTTAAATAATTTTTAATTCAGGACAGTTTAATGGATAACCCAGAACGGAATTACAAATTTACCTTGAATTCCCAACTTTTTAGTAAATAACTCTCTTAGACTTGAGCAAAATAGATTATAGAGACTAACCCCTTAAGGACCAAACTTCTGGAATAAAAGGGAATCATGACATGTCATGTGTCCTTAAGGGGTTAAGCAAATGTACAGATCGAGGGGGGGGAGGGAGGAGCTCTCAGTTTACCAGCATTAGTGGTCTAGTAAATTAAACCCCTTTGTGTTCCATGTCTTTCTGTAGCAATAGATTTGGGAAGAATAGTGTTATTAATTGTTAAAATAATACCTTTTTGACATCTCAAACAAAAAACTTATTTGCATTGTCATAGTCCAAAGAGCAGTCCTCTCATCTTTACCCAGAATGGGGACATAGTCAGGTCAGTGGCATGTTGGATATTTAAAGATACAGTATTTGCCTGAAAAGGAAAATGTTACAAGGATTCTTCAAGCTCGGTTTCTCAATGCATTATGGTAATGGATTTAAAGTGTGTGTGTGTGTGTATGTATGTATGTATGTATATGTGTGTATGTGTGTGTGTGTATATATATAAAAATATATAAACTGGGTCTGTTCCTTTTTTACTTTCTTTTCTTGTTTTTTTTTTTTTTTTAGAGATTTTTCATTTAGTGCAGATGTCCAGCAAACTTATATTTAACAAATAAATGGTGTAAGCAACCTTCAGCACTCCAGATGTTGTGGACTATATCACCCTTCATGCTCTTAGAGCCATAATGCTGGCAAAGCATCAAGGGAGAGGTACTCCCACCACATCTGGAGTGCCAAAGGTTGCCTATCCCTGGTGTAGGGGACCAAAATAAAGAACAGGGGGAGGAGGGCAGAGCAGAAAAGGATAGAGAAAGAAAAAATGAAATTGTATATTAAAGGGAGTGTGGCGTGTGCCACAATTTCACCACATCTTGCACTAGTAAAGGGTTGACGCTCCGTCATTTATGTACCAACGGCAATATAGCACATAGGAAATCGTGGGAAGTGAGCTGATCAGTAAAAACCTAATAAAGGGGGGGCGGAGCCAGCGCCTGAAAGAGCAAGTCGCACTTCACGACAGCTCCTAACGTGAGATCCGAAAGAAAGGACAATACAGCGACAAAATTAACCTGTGGGACCCGACAATCGGATCCACAGAGTGCCCCACACTATGGGGAAAAAACAAAGAAGAGCAGAGCAGATCCTGGCTCGGGGTCAAAAGATATCGGCACTTTTCTGCGCCCGTCTCAGCGGCAAGAACCCGGCAAGATGGCGCCGATGGTGGCCTATACCCCACAATCTTCAGACGAAGACAGCGTCTCTGATTCCTTTCCTGTCCCAACAAGGTACACACCACATTTCAGCAGACTAAAGACCTAGGCGACGCGGCACCCGCCACAAAAGCTGATATAAAAGCACTAATGCTGAACATCAAGGCGATATTCAACGCCGATATGGCGCTAGTCCATGGTGAAATCTCCACGCTCTCAGGCCGCGTGGTTTCCATTGAGGAGTCCCTCGGGAACACAAGGATGGCACAGGCGGCTGCAGACACAGCTCTGGGACTCTTACAAAAGCAATGTGCCACGCTGACAGCACAGCTGGCGGGAATGGAGGATAGAACTAAAGCTAGAAACCTACAGATCAGGGGAGTGCCCGAATCAGTCGTGAACCAGGAGCTGCCACACTATTGCAGGAGGCTACTAGCGACCTTATTGATCCCCAAGCAAGCAAAGCAAACAGGGATTGACTCCTGCTTTCGCATCCCCAAAGCACCCAAGGCTCCTCAGGAGGCACCAAGGGATGTGCTGATTAAATTCGTCAGGGATTCTGATCGGGGGGCCCTCATGGGAGCTACGAGAGATCTCCCACGGTTACATTTGAGGGAGAATGCCTGACTTTCTATAAAGACCTGTCACGGCATACTCTTACCTGGCGCAGATCCCTCTGCCACATCACTTCGCTGCTGAGGGAACATGCAATCCCCTATAAATGGGGACCCCACCGCTTAACGGAACACGCTGGCAAGACGGTCCACCTGACCCGAAGCATCCACGTTTCTCCAGTCCCTGGGACTCCTGATACAGGCCGCAGCAACAGGATCCAGCCCAGCATGGAACGTCGACGAAATAACTCAGTTTGTACCCAGAGAAGCAACGCTGAGGGCAACAGACTCACTAACATAAGACAAGTGATCGTAAATGCAAGTGCACCTTCAACCTCACAGGTGCCCTGGTACGGGACTATACACGGGACACTGCATGTAAACCACACATGCCGGGACTTCACTCACATTTTATAGGAAATGTGGCTTATTAAGTTTAATTAAGTTTAGTTATTGTTTTTACGCATTTCAAGTTCTCAGTTCCTAAATGTCTCTGGGTGCCAGACACACTAATGATACTGCCTCTGCAAGCAGATAACCAGCGATGTTGGCTAAGCAGATCTACACCCCCCTCAAGCCAGTGCAGGGTACCCATAGGCTCCTGAATAAAGGAGCAACGATATACCATACATCCAGCCTGATACGCTGGGGCCCGCACCAAACCATTGAAAGGCCAACGGCCGACAAACCCGCACTCCCCGCACCTCCCACACACGTGCCTAGACTAAGTCTACAGCCCTAATGCCTCTGAGCAGGGCGCATAACGCTATTCACTGGCCCCCTCCGTGATACTACATGTTTCCATTGTTTCTAGCACGAGGGAGTAAAGCAGAGATCACCTTATAAAAACCGGGTGGCATAGCACCTGTGCAATATTATATATGTTGATTATCTGGAATGTATGTAATATATGTTATCCTTTATGCACATGTTGTAAAACGAATTTAATACTTGCATACCCACAAAAATAAAGAATAATAAATAAAAAAAAATGTTAAAAAGAGTCTGCTGTCTGCAGTAGGGTTATGTTTATGTAGGTTGCAGCAAACTGTGTTACTTGGACCAGCAGGTAGAATGTACTGAGCACTCTTGCCAGATATCAAAGATCGAACCTTCAGCTCTGCGCCCTCGCCAGCATTTTGCAGAACAATCTCTGACTGTGCCAAAAGGGCTGGGTTAAAGTAACCATCAAAAAAGCCATTCCTTTATAAGCTCTAAATAGTTGGCACAGAACAAAATATTCTATGTGTTTTTTCCTTAGAATGTAAGCTTCTTCTAACAGGGCTCTCACCACCATTCTTGCATCCCCTGTTTGTTAGTGCATCTATTGTACATCGCTGCAGCATACGTTGGCATTTTATGAATAATAGTAGCATGAAGCTGCTCCTCACGGGGATATACTTTTCTGGATCCTGTACCAATTTAAACTTACAAGAGAAGTTTTATATACATCTTAGGCAAGACTAAAAATGTCCTCTTATGCAAGTGGAAATTGGGCCATGGTGAGGCCGTTTGGTTAACTGCAGGATCCAGGCAGGGGACCCCCCATAGTTTGGATTTCTTAAGACAAGCTAATTCCAACATTATACAAAACTAAATTAGTCTATGTGTTTAAATTGGACTGGGTAGAAAGCCTCCTAGTTTTGGGAACATATAGTTTTTAATATTATTTTAATATTGGTGAGACATCTATCATTTTTTTTTTAGATATGCATAATACACCATACAATTGATAGTATTTAAGACTCCTCTATGGGAGACCTTGCTTTTCTCTTAAATTCTAGGGACATTTGTTGAATCCTTCTGTAATTGTACACACAACATTATTTTAAATAATAGAAGGGGGAAAAATATATATAGCTTTTTTTCTAATTTCGATTTTTCAATAAATAGGAAAAAAAATTCTTATGCATAGTGGTCCACAATGCCTTTCAGATTGGTTGGGACATTGCCAATTTCGGGATCCTGACTCTGTTTTTTTCCCTAGTATCCCATTTCTGGGACACAAAGTCCCTAGACATGCACGAATAGACAAACACATCACACAGGGTATGGAGTGCCTCATGTGCAGCCCTGTGTGTGGTTGGTCAGAATGGTTGTCAGTCAAAGGAGGAATCTTCACTTGGGTATGTGTTGTATGCATACTACAATCCCTCCTAGAACACAATACTCCATCCTCCTCTGGAACAGTGTTAATTTTGTCAACTAACAATTTTAGTCGACTAAAATGACAAGATTTTACTAATTTCATGACGTAAAGTCTTGATTTTGTAAAGGACACGGAGGCGAATATTATGCTTATCTCTTTTCCTCAGCAGCAAACGAAAGGATATTGTAGATATTCAACGAAAAATTTCAATAACAAACATCATTTACCCCCAAAGGGTTAACCACATATAACATTAACCAATGAGAGTGTTCCTAGCACCATAATGTCCCATGTGACCCTAAGCCACTCCTCTTTCTTGATGTTGCCGATTAACACTCCCACAGACAAAACGATGTAACCAATAGAGGTGCAGAAACCGTGATTCCAGGAAGACTACAGTAATGGAACTCCTGAGAAACTGGCAATCTTCTGCTTGAACTTGTATGCACAGACATGGACCAGCATGACAACCCTATTAGGAGGCTGTAAGACCGAAAACGAAATGGTAGAATACGTTCTTGGATAGTATTTCCACATCCATATTACAACCTTAACCACAAACAAAGTGTCAGTCCAGTAATAGTTAATCAGGTGAAATAAAAATCACATTACCACACAGTTTGTGCCCCATTACGTGACCGTATATTCACAGGGAGGGCTTAACTTACCTGGATTGGGTGGGATAATGCTTGCATCCGTGGCCTTTATAAAATCATGACTTTATTAAAGGACACGGAGGCTCTTATTATGCTAGTTTAAAGCTGCGTGATGACTGAAGTGGAAAAATGAGAAACTGGACAAAAATAAAATTCCCGGAACATAGATTTGCTGGACCAAGAGACAACCTAGAGAAAAGGCTTTTGATGCCATAGCACCCCTCACTGAGTGTGCTCCGTATGTGGAGGTATTAGTGCCAGCCGAATCCATGATCCATTTAACCCAACGAGATATAGTAACTGTAGAAACCGGATGGTGTGGTTGTCGAATTGCCAGAAACAGATCTGGATACCGGGGATCACGAACCGAAGCTGTCCTTGCTTCATATTCCTTAAAGCAGACTACTGGGCACAGATTAACGTTATGTGGAAAAGCTGAGTAGAAAACTGATGTAATGGATGTCTTCGTACATCTCGAAATATCGAAGGAAACGCCTTCTGGTGTAAATGAGCGTGCCGCGAGGTCCAGTGCTCGGACATCTTAGACACGTTTACAGGAAATTAGACAAAACAGCATAACCAGTTTAGCGGTGAGCTGCCTGATTGAAAGGTCCTCATTCTTTGGACAATTTTCAAAAATTAGGAGAACGAGGCTAACATCCCACAAGACTGCATATTTCATGGTGGGCGTGCAAACTTAATGCCACGTAGAAGTCGACATACCACTGGGTGTTTCCCTGTTTGTAGTCCATTCCAGCCTTGGTGGCCTGCCGAAATAGCTGATCTATATAAGTTGATTGTACGATATGCCAGGCCATGGTTGAAAAGTGAAGTAAGGAAACGTAAAACCTGACTCACATTTGCAGATATGGGATCCACGTGTTGTTCCATGCACCAACTATTCCATGTGTTCCAGGTATGTAGGTATGACCTCCTTGTTCCTGGGGCCCAAGCCCCTGCCAGGAGGTCCAGAGTTGTTTGTGGAACATTTGGGATGTAGCAGAGTCCCCTGAAAGTAGCCATGCCAAGAGTTTGAGATGTCCCTGAAGTAGAAGGGGATGTGAGTACCAGTCTGGGTCCAGTATGAGGTCGGTGACCACCGGTAGTAACCTTGGGAGATCTATGGACATTTCCATGAGTGTAGGGAACCAGGGCTGAGACGTCCAGAAGGGGGATATGAGGATCAAGGAGGTTCGGTGACGTCTGAGGTGCAGCAGAGTCCGTGCGGTGAGAGAGAAAGGAGGGAAGGGGTATTGGCGGGTATTCGGTTACGGTTGGAGGAAAGTGTCCGTCGCCAGAGCTTCGTGGTCCAGCCTCCAGCTGAAAAAGGTTGGCAAATGTGTGTTCAAGCGTGATGCGAACAGGTCGATGTTCAAGGGGCCCCAAAGTGACTGTAAAGATGGCAGGGTTCAGTCGCCAGTCGCTGGCATCTGGTAGGTGTCTGGAATTCCAATCCGCCACTACGTTGGTCATCCCCGGAATGTACTCTGCTTGTACTGAAATATTGCAATCCAGACAGAATTGCCAGAAATCTTTCAATAGTTCCGCTAATTTGGTTGACTTTGTGCCCCCGAGGTGGTTGATCTAGCGGACCGCTGACATATTGTCCATGCATAACAGAATGGAGCAGTTGGTCGATATACTTAAGAGACTCCATAGGGCAAACTATTCTGCCAGCAGTTCGAGGGAGTTGATATGTAGTCCCTGTTCCTCTAGGGACCATTTTCCTCCAGTGGAGGTAGATCCGCAGCGTGCACCCCAGCATACTTGCATCGGATTCCACTACGATGTTCGGAGTGGTTCCGAAGATCGGTCGGTCGTTCCATGCTTCCATGTGTTCCACCGGAGTTCTTCTTTGGCGGTGCAGTTGAGAGGAACAGAGTCTGAGTACGAGTGCCCCAAACAAAGGTATTTGGCCTTCAGTCGTTGAAGTGCTCTGTAGTACAGAGGGCCGGGAAATATGGCTTGGATTGACGCTGAGAGAAGGCCGCCAATCCTGGCCAGTTGTCTCAAGGTAAGAACAGGACATGCTAACATCCGCCTGATTTCCTTTTTGATGGATTTGACTTTGGTTGTTGGGAGTAGGAGTGCTCCGTTCACAGCATCTATGGTGAATCCTAGGAATTCTGTTGATTGAGAGGGTTTGGTGACCAACTTCTCCCAACTGATTAGGAAACCCAGGTTTTCTAGCAGAGTCCTCGTCCAAGAAAAATGTTCGTGGAGCAGATGAGGGTCCTGCGCCATTATGAGGATATCGACCAAGTATATTATGAGTCAAACTCCTCTGCTGCGCAGGAGGGCGATCACTGGTTTCATGAGCTTTGTGAAGCACCAGGGTGCCGATGAAAGGCCGAATGGTAGGCATTTGAATTGTCACACGGTTTCCTCCCATTGAAATTGTAGGAATTTTTGGCAGTTTTCGGCCATTGGAACCGTGAGATACGCGTCCTTAAAGTCGAGCTTGACCATCCAGTCCCCTGTAAGCAGGAGGTCTCGGAGAGAGTGTATACCTTCCATCTTGAAGTGGTGGTATGTGACAAACATGTTTAGAGGTCGTAGGTTGATGACTGGACGAACGCCTCAGGCTTTTTTGGGGACCAGGAATAGGTTGCTTAGGAAACCTGGTGTGAGAGGGTGGATTGTGGAAATTGCACCCTTGGAGGCCAAGGCTTGAACTTCCTGTGAGATCAGATATTGATCGTGAGTGGGGAATACCATGCGGTTGGGGGGCTGTATTTGAACTGGGTATTGTACAAAATCTATAGAGTAACCCTGGACAGTGTGGAGGACCCAGGCATCTTAAGTGAGCATGCGCCATACATTGACAAAGTTACACAGTCTGCCCCCCACCATTGTTAATGAAGACAGATGAAGTGGCATTGAACTTCCATAAGGTCGTCGGCCATAGAAAGAACCTCTGGGTCCCCGAGACTGCCATGGTCTGCCCCGAACTGGGAAGAACAGTGAGGTAGGTTTTGACTCAGGTGCTGTAAACCTGGACTGTATGGGGCCTCGATAGCCCCGGGATGAGCGGCGGTGCAGACGGCCCCGATATCTGCCAAAAACTCTGATGAAACACTCGTTTCATGCT